TTTACCTTCCTGCTCCTACTGTCCCTTTCTGCTCATTGCAGACGCTTCCTGCTCCTTGCTGACCCTTCCTGCTAATTTCTATTCCTTTCTGCTCCTTTTCCTACTTTACCTTTGCGCTCCTTCTGACCCTTCCAGCTCCTTGCTGCTCCTTTCTACTCCTTGCTGCCCTTTCTGATCCTTCTTCTACTTTACATTTGTGCTCCTTCTGGTTCTTTCTGCTCCTTTAACTGTGTGCTCCTTCTGTCCCTTTCTGCCCCTTTCTGCTCCTTGCATATCCTTCCATCCTTCTTGCTGCCCCTTCCTGCTCCTTGCAGACCCTTCATGCTCCTTGCAGACCCTTCCTGTTCCTTGCTGCCCCATCCTGTTCCTTTCTGCTTCTCCTACTTTACCTTTGTGCTCCTTTTGCCCTTTCCAGCTCTTCTGGCTCCTTTCTAACCCTTCCTGATCTTTGCTGCCCCTTCCTGCTTCTTGCTGCCCCTTTCTGCTCCTTGCTGTCCCTTCCTGCTCATTTCTATTCCTTTGTGCTCCTTCTACTTCTTTACCTTTGTGCTCCTTCTCCAACTTCACCTTTGTACTCCTTCTGATTTGTCCTGCCCCTTTACATTTGTGCTCCTTCTGTCCCTTCCTGCCCCTTTCTGCTACTTGCTGACTCTTTTGGCTCCTTGCAGACCCTTCCTTCTCCTTGCAGACCCTTACTGCTCCTTGCTGCCCCTTCCTGCTTCTTGCAGCCCTTTCCTGCTCCTTGCATGCCCTTACTTCTCCTTGCAGACCTTTCCTGCTCTTTGCAGACCCTTCCTGCTCCTTGCTAACCCTTCTTGCTCTTTCCTGCCCCTCCCTGCTCCTTGCTGCCCCTTTCTGCTCCTTGCTGCCCCTTCTTGCTTATTTCTATCCCTTTGTGCTCCTTCATCTACTTTACCTTTGTGCTCCTTCTGATTCTTTCTGCTCCTTTACCTTTGTGCTCCTTCTGTCTCTTCCTGCCCCTTGCTGACTCTTTCTGCTCCTTGCAGACCCTTCCTTCCCCTTGCAGACCCTTCCTGCTCCTTGCTGCCCCTTCCTGCTTGTTGCAGCCCCTTCCTGCTCGTTGCAGACCTTTCCTGCTTTTTGCAGACCCTTCCTGCTCATTTCTGCCCCTTTCTGCTCATTTCTGTTCCTTTCTGCTCCTTCTCCTACTTTATCATTCTGCTCCTTCTGTTCCTTCCAGCTCATCGCTGACCCTTTCTGCTCCTTGATGTCCCTTCTTGCTAATTTCTGTTCCTTCTCCTTTCTGCTACTTCTCCAACTTTACCTTCCTGCTCCTTGCTGACCCTTCCTGTATGCTTCCCCCCATCCCTCACTTACCTGATCTGTAGGCTGCCCCCCCATGCCTCACTTACCTAATCTGTAGGCTGCCCTTCCATGCCTCACTTTCCTGATCTGTATGCTGCCTCCTTACTTACCTGATCTGTAGGCTGCCCCCATGCCTCACTTGCCTGATCTGTAGGCTGCCCCCTCCATCCCTCATTTACATGATCTGTAGGCTATCCTCCCCCCCACATGCCTCACTTCCCTGGTCTGTAGGCTGTCTCCCCATCCCTCACTTACCTGATCTGTAGGCTGCCCCCCATGATTTACTAACTTGATCTGTATGCTGCCCCTCCATGCCTCACTTCTCTGATCTGTAGGCTGTCTCCCCATCCCTCACTTCCCTGATCTGTAAGCTGCCTCCCATTCCCTCACGTCCCTGATCTGTAGGCTACCTTCCCATCCCTCACTTACTTGATCTGTAGGCTGCCTACTCACTTACCTGATCTGTAGGCTGCCACCCCCCCAATGCCTCACTTACCTAATCTGTAGGCTGTCCCCCCATCCCTCACTTCCCTGATCTGTGGGCTGTCTGTCCATCCCTCACTTCCCTGATCTGTGGGCTGTCTCTCCATCCCTCACTTCCCTGATCTGTAGGCTGCCTCCCATCCCTCACTTAACTGATCTGTAGGCTGCCCCCCATGACTCACTTACTTGATCTGTAGGCTGCCTCCTCACTTTCCTGATCTGTAGGCTGCCCCCATCCCTCACTTACCTGATCTGTAGGCTGACCCCGATCCCTCACTTACCTGATCTGTAGACTGTCTCTGCAGTCTGGGAGTTGCTGGCTGCATGTGCTGCTCTGATGCAGATTCAGTCAGGAGAGAGAAGCAGGGATAAGATGTAGCTTTCTGTCCCTTCCTCTCTCCACACACAGCGCCACCTGATTGAACACAAATATTCGCATTTAAAAACAGTAAAACATATCACAACAACTTTTTTTTGCATTTTTTACACAAAAATGGTACTTTCACTGACGATATAATTGTTGTGATAAGTTTTAATATTTTGAAACACTAATATTTGTGTTTGGAGAAACTTACCGAGTATAACAGTAACCCCCATGTACAGGTTTTATAATGTTTTCAAAAGTTATGGAGTCAAATATAAGGCTTGAATTTCTTTTTTTTCACATTGAAATTTGCCCGATTGGTTATGTTTCCTTTGAGATATATGCTAGCCCAGGAATGAGAATTACCCCCATGATGGCATACTATTTGCAAAAGTAGACAACCCAAGGTATTCCAAATGGGGTATGTCCAGTGTTTTTTAATAGCCACTTAGTCACAAACACTGGCCAAAATTAGCGCTCAATTACATTTTTTTATTTTTCACACACAAACAAATATGAACGCTAAATTTGGCCAGTGTTTGTGACTAAGTGGCTACTAGAAAAGACTGGACATACTCCATTTGTAATACCTTGGCTTGTCTACTTTTGCAAATGGTATGCCATCATGGGGGTTATTTACATTCCTGGGCTACCATTTGGTCTCAAAGGTCAGTCTGGCAAATTTCATGGTGTATAAACTGAAAAATGTAATGTGCTATATTTGACCCTGTAACTCTCCAAAACACCATAAAACCTGTACATCTGGGTTACTGTTTTGCATTGTGACATTCACAGTTAAAAGGCCATGCAGAACTAAAAAAATAACAAAATATCTTAATTTCTCATTTTTTAAATATATTTTATTCATATTAAATTACGTTTAATATACAAATATTTGATGTGACATGAAAGCCCTGTTTCTCCTGAACAAAATGATATATGATAAGTGTGGGTGCACATAATATGAAAGAGGTGCATTAATCAGTCCTTCAGGGGTTAATAATATATCAGTGTATTTTATTATGATTGCATTACCTGGCCTAATAAGCACAATCTAATAATCATACATTTCATAGTAACAATCAAATGAGTTTCCATAGTTGTCAAAATTAGATATGTATTTTTTCAGAACAAAACTTTTCAGTGTGGAACTTAGATAGTAACCTCACACACCTCACAGCCTTAGATATAATGCATATGTACACATCATTACTAAGCTATTGTTATAATTTATATTCTTTAACATTCCATCTCCCTCATTTCACTTCTTGTTGCTCTGTTCTCTGGAAAGAGCACTTACACTGGTCTAGACTGAAGAAATTCAACTGCTACAATAATTTTTTGCAAGAGTTTTCCATGGCAACAAGTAAATGTTGCTGCATATTACAGAGTTCTACCATGACCAAAAGCCCTAATATTTATAATAATCATGTGTTGTTAATGATTGAATGAATGATCACCAAATAGTTTATGAGATGCAAAAAGAAAAAGCAATATGCTTCTCCTATAGCAAATGCATCTGTATAGATTACATGACAAAGAAAACCATTATACCTAAAAAGTCCTTGGGATAATTTATTTAAATAAAGAATTGAAATAAAGTGGTCAAGGTCACCATCTCTAGCATGCTAGTGAAGTACATTAGTGAATATATAATCCATTGAAGGCATAAATGGCTTTAGTATAGCAAAGTATGTTGCCCTTTCTTTTAAAGATTGTACCAATGTAGAGGTGTTTTTCACATAATGTTACTTAGTTACAAAGTAATATAGGTAAAAAAAAAAAAAAAAAACCTCAAGTTGATCAAGTTCAGCTTTTTTTCCTGCTATTTAATCAAAAGAAGTAAACATTTAAAGCAATTTCCAGTTGTTCACCAACTTGAAGAATAAATACTTATTGATTGAAAAATGGCAAATTTCTCCTTGGATTAACAGATGGATATGCTTCAACATTATATATTGAGTTGAGCGGATACCTGGATGTTCGGGTCCGTCGTGTTCGGTCGAACTTTGAAAAAAAGTCTGGGTTCAGGCTCGAACTTGACCCCGAACTTGACCCCGAACCCGAACCCCATTCAAGTCAATGGGGACCCAAACTTTTGGCCACAAAAATGCCTCTTAATAATACCTGGAAAGAGCTAGAGAACTGCAAAAGCAAATAAAATGTTTGCAAGTGCCCTGCAAACAAATGAGGATAGGGAAAAAATACAGCTGAGCCATAAAATAGCACTAGATGGAATCTTTAATTATAGCTTTGGAAGAACATAAATCAAAATCTAAAGCATGGCTGTCAGGAGGATCAACATAATTATCCATTTGAGAGAGGGTTGGAGTGCAGGGTATTCTCTTTCATTGTTCAAACTGAGCTCAACTCCTGATGCATTGAGAAAAGGCATTCACAAGCCTCTGCTATTGTGTACATAGTTTATATATAAACCCATAGTTTATATATAGGACCCATAGGTTGAGGAGGCGGTGACCGTAGCGGTGTAGGTGGAAGCAGCGGTGGAGGAGGAGGATGAGGTAGCCAACACTGTTTTTTATGGTTTTTGTATTGTTTTTTTAATTGTGGTAGCCCACACAATATTGGGACATACAACAAAAGAAACATTTGTGGCCTGTGGTGCATTTTTTGCAGTCCTGAAGCATGGAGAAATGCTCAACTCCTAATGCATGGAGAAAAGGCCTTCACAAGCCTCTGCTATTGTGTACCTAGTTTATACTAAGTGACACATAGGTTGAGGAGGCAGTGACTGTGGCGGTGTAGGTGGAAGCAGCGGTGAAGGGGGAGGATGAGGTAGCCAACACGGTTTCTTATGGGTTTTTTTTTTTGTAAATGTGATAGCCCACAAAATATTGGGACATACAACAAAAGAAACATTTGCGGCCTGCGGTGCATTTCTTGCAGTCCTGATGCATGGAGAAAAGGACTTCACAAGCCTCTGCTATTGTGTACATAGTTTATACTAAGTGACCCATAGGTAGAGAAAAAAAGACAACTCTGCTCTGCAGAGTAGCTGTTGACATTATAGTTGCGCAGGCACTTTGTTGACTCTAGAGAACCTTGGGCCAATCGCACATCCCCGTGGCGGCGACTTTGCATGCGGATGTCATCCATATCAACTTTCGATGCCAGTTTCTGCGCCTACCATGGTAACCACGAGTAACGGGGAATCAGGGTTCCATTCTGTACAGGGACCCTGAGAAACGGCTACCACATGCAAGGAAGGCAACAGGCGTGCAAATGACCCACTCCCGACATGGGAAGGTAGTGACGACAAATAACAATACAGGACTCTTTAGAGGTCCTTGAATTGTAATGAGTCCACTTGAAATCCTTTAACTCTCTTCAATTAGAGGGAAGTCTGGTGCAGAGCCACTGACCCGTGCGTGCTGCAGCTGAAACTCCACTATCGACTGCTGCTGCTCGCACAGTCTCATGAGGCGGGTAGCAGGAAGGCCAAAGTTATGCTGCAGCACAGAAAGGCGAGCAGCAGCAGGGTGACAACGCCAAAAGCGCGCACAGCCGCTACAGTGAATGTCACATCCTGTTCCAAGCTGCGGATCAGTCTGGTGATGGCTTCTGGTATCAAGTGCTATTTTTACTGAAGCTGCCTCAGGGTCCTGGTTTTTGGCCGCACAAACGCTGGTGCTCAACACCAGGGGGCATGCGGTTACCCTGCACCAGACCCTGCTAATCCATTCCACACTGTGACTCCTAACTTCAACATTAGGCATACTGGGTCCCGGTCGTCCGACCGCCGCCCAAACAGTTTCTGGGTCCTGGTCACCGGACTGCCCACCTCACTGTGAAACTACGAATGGATCGTTAAATCTGGTTCGAACCCGAACTTTGCAGTTCGGGTTCGCTCAAGTCTATTATGGATCCTTTGATCGCTACATGTATTACCTGGATAACTGGTAATTCTCGAGCTAATACATGCCGACAAGTGCTAGGGGACGGCCGCTCTGCATTTGCACCCTGCTCCCGCTGTGCTGGTGCCTCTGTGCGACCAGGTCCTCTTCCTCCAAACTGCACACGTTACTCGCATGACCTTGATTCCATGTGGGGTCTAGGACCTCATCATCCTCCACATCATCTTCCACCCACTCCTCAACCCTGCCCTCCTTGCCGGTATGCACACTGCAGAGAGCCACAGCAGTTGGCACCTGTGTTTTTCCAGCATGTAAAGTCTGCAAAGGACATATGGAAATTATTTTAGAATTGTATCCAGGCAACAGTTTTCCCTATAAACTGACCTCTCGGTTTGACTTGTGAGGGTATTGCCCCAGAATTGCAATATTATTGAAGTACCTCTTAGCTATTGATCACTGGTTTGAATATAGCAGCTTGTTATCTGACAGTTTCTAGTGTAGAAAATATCAATCTGTTTTCTATCACTTAGATCTGTGTAACAAGTGTTGTAAGTGTGAAACAATATTACAAGTGACTGATGTGGTAAATTCGAATTAAATTTACGCTTCAATTTGACTCTCAGATATGAAGTGAACACCCCAAATATACTATTAAGCACCCAAATATTTTATTAAAAAAATAGATTTTTCAAAACTCCAATGTAAGCAGCAGATTAGCAGCAAACAATTAGAATGTTTACAACTGCGCAGTAAGCGCACTATTTGACGCTTCTATTTGACTCTCAGATATGAAGTGCACCGCAGGCCCCAAAATGTACTATTTGCAGATTAGCAGCAAAACAATTAGAATGTGTACAACTGCGCAGTAAGCACACTATAAGCGCACTTCATATCTGAGAGTCAAATCGAAGCGTCTAATAGTGTGCTTACAGCGCAGTGGTAAACATTTTTATTTTCTGGGTGTTAATCTGCTAAATGGTACATTTTGTGGCCTGCTCTTCATATCTGAGAGTCAAATAGAATCGTCTAATAGTGTGCTTACTGCGCAGTTGTAAACATTCCAATTGTTTTGCTGCTAATCTGCTAAATAGTACATTTGCGGCCTATTTAGCAGTTTAGCACCCAAATGATTTTAAGTTTTAAAACTCCGCCATTTAATCACCAAACACCGAACTCCAACCCGAACATACAGTGATATGTCCGTGTTCAGGTCCTGGGACCAAAAAAACCTAATGTTCGGTACAAACCCGAACTTTACAGTCTGGGTTCGCTCAACTCTAGTTAACAAATATATATAATTATTATTATTTTTATTATTATTTCTTAAAAACAATAAAAAAAAGTGAAAGAAAATACCAGCAGACAATTTGCATTCTTCTGCACAAAGGCTGCACATGGGACACTCTTGGACTTTCCAGCATGACAATGACCCTAAGCACAAAGTCAACTTGACCCTCCAGTAGTTCCAGCAGAAAAAGGTGAAGGTTCTGGAGTGGCCATCACAGGCTCCTGAACTTAATATCATCGAGCCCCTCTGAGGAGATCTCAGACGTGCGGTTCTTGCAAGACGTCCAAAGACTTTGCATGAACTGGAAGGCATTTTGCCAAGATGAGTGGCCAGCTATACCACTTATAAGAATTAGGGGCCTCATAGACAACTATTACAAAAGACTGCACGCTGTCATTGATGCTAAAAAGAGGAATACACAGTATTAAGAACTAAAGGTATGCAGACTTTTAAACAGGGGTCATTTAATTTTTTTCTTTGTTGCCATGTCTTGTTTTATGAGTGTTCCATTCTGTTATAACCTACAGCTGAATATGAATCCCAAAAGAAATAAAAAGAAATGTGTTTTGCCTGCTCACTCATGTCTTCTTTAAAAATTGTACAAATATTACCAATTCTCAAAGGTTATGCAAACTTTTGAAAACAACTGTATGTGTGAGAATATATGAGAGTAGTATGTTTTGCTAGATTTTAGTGATGTTTGTGGCAGTGAGTGATGTGTGTGAGCACCTGTGAGTAAATAATTAGACAGACCAATAAGAGAGAAAATTGAGCTTGTGTCTTACACAGCTAGTAATAAGTATAAGGAGGGGAAAATACTTAAAAACATGTTAATCTCTACTATAAAAAATAGTGGTCCCTACCACATGAAGTTATTTTCTTTTAGGGAAATTCCAGTGCCAGGAAAACAATCCGTTTTCCTGGCACTGCAGGTCCCCTCTCCCTCCCACCTCCCATTCCCGGTTGCTGAAGGGGTGAAAACCCCTTCAGTCACTTACCTGAGACCCCGCCGATGTCCCTCGGTGGTGGTTTCTTCTCGCCGCCGCTCCTCCCAGTCTTTACGTCAGCCGGTGGGTGAGACTGATCCCGCCCACTAGAGGTAGAGTTAACCCTGCAAGGTAATTATTGCAGTTTATAAAAAACTGCAATAATTACACTTGCATGGTTAAGGGTAGTGGGAGTTGGCACCCAGACCACTCCAATGGACAGAAGTGGTCTGGGTGCCTGGAGTGTCCCTTTAAATCTTATTGCAGAGAGGGTGAGATACTGTTCCAATGGACATGACTCAACTGCCCATATGGTTGTCTAATTCTCACTAATTTCCAGCCTCCTGTTGATATTACACTAGTATTATTACAAGTACTAACACTGAAAATTTGATATTTACAAATCTAACTTCTCCCAGTAGGTGAAAATTGTACAAATTATTAAGAGCTATTGACTTAGTAGTACTTCCAGCTATTATCCTGCAGGATACCACACAATGTACGGCATTTGAGATATTCTCCTTCTGAACTAAAGAGCATTTCAAGTGCTTTGATGCACTTATCAAAGGAAACCCACACCCCTGCTATCCCCCACTGCTTTCAAGTAAATATTACCTCTTTTTTTCAATTTAAAACTGAAATCCTTCATCTATATTTTTTTAGGAAAAAATAGGATAACAAGAAGATTGCTCCCTTCACATTTGTTTTTGCTTCCTCCATCAGAAATGACATTTGTAATATAAACCTAAATTGTTTTGCAATATAAATTGGCAAGCAATAATACATTTACCATCTATTAGAATATTTCAAACACGTAACTATTCTAAAAATATAATTTTATAATTCAAGAGAAAAAAAACATATCAATGTTAAACAGCTTTACAAATAAATGTCAAACAAAAATTTAAATAGATGCTGAAAAAAACACTGCTTATCTCTAAAAGAACACTTATAATAAACACTTATAATATTTTACATTGTGCATTTATTTTATTGTTTTTTTTTTTATTGGGTAACTACAATAATAGATCAGGGTGATGCAATAGACATTGCTTACCTAAATTTCAGTAAGGCTTTTGACACTGTTGCATATAGAAGGCTTCTCAATAAACTGCAATCTTTAAGTTTGGGTTCCAATATTGTTGAATGGGTAAGGCAGTGGTTGAGTGACAGGCAACAGAGGGTTGTAGTCAATGGAGTATATTCAAAGCATGGCCTTGTCACCAGTGGGGTACCTCAGGGATCTGTACTTGGACCCATTCTTTTTAATATTTTTATTAGTGATATTATTAAGTGTTCTTGCATAGCAAGATCACTTAATGTTATCTCATATATTATTATTATTATTATTATTATTAAGTGTTCTTGCATAGCAAGACCACTTAAAGTTATCTCACATATATATTATTATTATTCTTATTATAGCCAAATTGACCACCCTATCTCCTCCCACAGTTTTTACACTACATAGACAGTAATATACCGAAATGTGCGGATTGTTCCCGATTGGATTGCTATTAGTTTGTGGAACGTTTCGCTGAATGGTTCACAGAATATCGTCATTCTTGTGGTGAAACTGGTCCCATAAGAATGAATGGCAAAATGTTCAAAACTAGAGTGAGAGCTGGCAAAAGCTGAAAAATCAGGACATGATTTCTAAACTGCCACCACTCCCTCATTTTCAAGCCCACCTACACAAATCATATCAAAACGTTCAGCTATCCCTGCTGCCAGTAAACATGTCCACGGCTAAGCCATAGTCCTGATAGTTTTCACAATATGACCATTTGTTTGCAACTCAAGCCGTCCATTGACATTCATTGAAACTCCACTCTAGCCAGCTCAGATTTGAAGGGCAATTTCTAAACTGCAACTGTGCCTTCAATTTTAATATTTCAGAGACATGCAGGGAAGTAAATTGGTAGAATAGTGTTCAATGAAGACTTATGTGTTTGTTTTTTTCAGCCATTAACAGTTTAATTGATATGCTTTCGTGAATAAAGTGAGTTTTTAATGATTTTGTGAATGAGTGGAGACTGGGTAAGCATCTAACTGAAAAGGGAAGGGAGTTCCACAGGAACGGTGCAGTCCTAGAGAGGTCTTGGATACGAGCATCAGACATGGGAGCATTAACAGAGGATAGATGCAGGTCTTCAGCCGAGCATAGGGGCCTAGACGGGACATTCTTGTGTATTATGGAGGATAGATAGGTGGGAATAGCATTATGTAGATATTTGAAATCAAGAACCAGAATT